AGACATGGTGTGTGTGAGCTGAAGACAGGAAATGTGGAAACTGGTTGATGCTCCTGAAAGCAGACTTAGTGACAAACACCTTGGGTTGTTGCCAGACATATTCATATGAGAAGTTCAGATCCCATGAGTGATGAGAAAGTATATAGAAAGTTCTTCTGCCCCGGATATATACCCATAGAGAGGTGGGAAGGAAGCTGGACAATTTTTTTTTTTTTTAAACTCCAGAGTACACTACCACTGAACTACATCCTCGGTCCTTTTAATTTATGAAACAGGATCTCACTAAGTTGTCGAGACTGGACATGAACTTGTGATCCTCCTGCCTCAGCCTCCTGAATCACTAGGATTACAGGCATGTGCCACTGTGCCCAGCCATAATTCTAATATTTGGTGTAGTTTTTTATGGTATTAATGTGGCATGGACATGTCAGGTGGCCTAAGACACTACCATCTTATGATTCTAAGGAACTGGAAAGAAGAGTACCCTTGCCAAAATCAGGAGATGGAACAAAAGCTTGTGTTTGCTTTCTTTCATTTACAGGTCGCCAGCAAAAGAAGAGATAAGACCACCCTTCCCTTGACCAACTAGAGCTGGGAACCCTGGACACGTAAATTCTCATTTCCCCTCTTCCTGTAAATAAAGGCCCTTTTGTCCATCCTGCATGACTCCTTCTTGGGCTTTTGGGTGGGAATCTTGGCGCTAACCCCCAAGGGTTACTGCCAGTTCATCAGGGGATTATTTATACTCTGGGGATCAGCAGGCAGAGAGTTTCAGGTTACTAGGAGAAGGTGGGGGAGCTTCCTCCTTTGGTGTTCCCCACAAACCTGCCAATACCTTCAGTCTTTCTACTTTCACAGAGTATTTGGCCTCAATTCTGTTTCCAGATGTGACCAGAGTCCCCCAGTCTACCCACAACCCTCATGTGATTTGATCTGGGAAGGACTTTGAGTGGAGGTGGGGAAGGAGGCAGACAACACGAAGGGCAAAGACCTCTTTCTGACAGACTTATTAATAGGGCATTGGGCTGCATGCAGCTGACGCTTGGCATGACTTTGGTAGAAGGTGGGGGAGGGATTAGAAGTATGGGGAGCTGTGTACATTGCAGAGAAGGAATGGCCAGGTTGAGAATGAACAGATCTGAAATCCTGATATAGAACAGGAAACTCAACTCAAGGAAAGTCAGGCTCCCAGTGCCCACTGTAGTTTATTTGTAAATGAATGGGGAAAGATGGTTTCAGTCTATAGGGAGATCAGGGGGTTCCTCCTCATCAGAGTCAAACTCAACATTTTCATCTTTTATCCATCGACCTCGTCCATCTGGGATCCATCCAGAGCTGGAAACATCAGAGAAAAGACAATTAGTCAGGGAGGTAATATAATTTGTGGCAATAAGAAAAAATATTAAATAGGTTTGAAAAAAGGAGGGTCAGGTAGCGTGTGGTGGTACACTTTTATTATAATCTTAGCTACTAGGATCACAAATTCAAGGCCAGTTTGGGCAACTTAACATGACTGTCTCAAAATAAAAAATTTTAAAAAGGGGGCTGGAAATGTAGTTCAGTGGTAGAGTGCTCACCCAGCATGCAGAAGGTCCTGGGATCAATCCTGAGTACCACAAAATAATAAAAATTAAAAGATAAAGGGCTGAGGTTGTGGCTCAGCAGTAGAGCACTCGCCTAGCATGTGCGCGGCCAGGGTTCAATCCTCAGCACCACATAAAAATAAATGAATAAAATAAAGATATTGTGTTCAACTATATTAAAAAAAAAAAAAAAAAGACAAAGGAAGCTAGGGAGTGTGGTGGTCAAGGCTAGCATGGAAAAGGCCCTAGGTTTAATTCTCAGTACTGTGGGAAAAAAGAGGTCAGAGAGAAAACAGAAAACCTGAGGAATGTGATTCGGCATATTCACCTTCGAAGTGTGAGGTAATGGTTCAGGGCTCGTCTTCTTGTGGGGCTCATAGGTGCAGGGGTTGAGACAGTCGCTTTCTCCTTGGCCTGTGGGCCAGCCTCTGGCTCAGGTTCCCTATTGCTCTTCCTACTCTGGAGCTGGACCTCTGGGGTTGGCAAAGGGGAACAGGAGACAGAAGGACCAGAGGCTTCTGATCTGGGTAGAAAAAATAAGAGCCTCTAAAAGCAGTAATGGAAAGGGCCAACTATCCTATGACTCCCAACCTCTTAAAGCAATGTTTTCTAAATAGTGTTCGTCAAGACATCAATAAATATCTTTCGGGCTGGGGATGTGGCTCAAGCGGTAGCATGCTTGCCTGGCATGCATGCGGCCCAGGTTCAATCTTTAGCACCACATACAAAGATGTTGTGTCCACCAAAAATTAAAAAATAAAATATTAGAAAAATAAATAAATAAATAAGTAAATATCTTTCATAAATAGGATTTTGGAATCATGAATTTGGGAAAAGCTAGCTAAACATTTTAAAACTTTTAATCCTTTTTTTTTAAATGACATTACTATTTTTAGTTGTCAATGGATCTTTATTTTATTTATTTATATGTGGTGCTGAAATTCAAACCCAGTGCCTTGCACATGCTAGGCAAGTGCTCTACCACTAAGCCACAATCCCAGCCCTAAACTTTTTATCTTAAAAGACTGTATATTGGGGGCTGGGGATGTGGCTCAAGCGGCAGCGCGCTCGCCTGGCATGCATGCGGCCCGGGTTCAATCCTCAGCACCACATACAAACAAAGATGTTGTGTCTGCCAAAAACTAAAAAATAAAAAAAAGACTGTATATTTAGCAAGGTGTACTTAGTGCCTGTAATCCCAGCAACTTGGGAGACTGAGGCAGGAGGACCACAAGTTCAGTAACTTAGGGAGACCCTGTCTCAAGATAAAAAATAACAAGGACTGGGGATGTGATTGAGTGATTAAGTGCCCTTGTGTGCTAGCAATATGCCTGAAATCCCAGCAATTCAAGAGGTTGAGGCTGGATCATAGATTCAAAGCCAGCCTCAGCAACTTAGTGAGACCCTACCTCTAACCACTAAGCCACATCCCCAGTTCTTTTTTACAGTTTATTAGAGACAAGGTATTGCTGAGTTGCTTAGGGCCTTGCTAAGTTGCTAAGACTGGCTCTGAACTCATGATCCTCCTGCCTCAACCTCCCAAACTGCTGGGATTAGAGGCATGTGCCACAGTGCACAGTTCTATCTAAAAATTGTTTACAAATAAGTAAAGAAAGGGGCTGGGATGTAGCTCAGTGGCAAAGCGTCTGCCTTGCATTCGCAAAGCCCTGGGTTCGACCCCCAGTTCCAAAAAAGACAAAAAAAAAAAAGAACCCCACCAAAAAAAAATAAGATTAAAAAAAATAAGTAAAGAAAGGATTGGGGATGTAGTTCAGAGGTAGTGTCCCTGGTTCAATCCCCAGTACTACATAAACAAAGAAGCAAGCAAAAAACCCTAAAACAATTCAAACCAAGTCAAACACCAGTATTCCTCAGAATACATTTTAAAAAACAATACATTTAGAACCATCTATTTTCTTCTGTCCTCCCTACTTCTGGCTTTCCCATCCCACAGACCTGTACTTCCGACGGCAGCAACTGTTATAGTGGGGAGCTCTATGCAGAGCATTCTGGGTGATAAGTCGAGTCTGAGTTAACAGAGGAGCCTGGTATGGAAATGAAAGAGTCAGAGCTTTCAGAAACAAAAGTTCTTGAAGCATAATGTATGCAGGAAGGTCTGTCTGTCTGTTTGTATGTCTAAACCCCTCCCTCTCTGATTACCTCAGCTTTGGTCTCTTCCCTCCTCAATTCATTCTGTTGTCTTGGATTTTGCTCTCTTCCTTTTCCTGGCTCCTTCTTGCCATAGAAAAGCTGCAGGCCTGAGGAGAAAAGGAAGGAGAACCGAAAACCTAACACCAAGGGCTGGGGTTGTGGGTCAGGAGCAGAGCGCTCGCCTAGCCCGTGCAAGGCCCTGGGTTTGATCCACAGCACCACAGAGTGGTCTGTGGAAATTTTAAGTTTATTCTCTATCTCCTGACTTCCCCCAAACTTACTAGACAGATGCTTCTTTCCTGAACGATGGGCAGTCAGCATGGCCAGTGTGTCCAATACAGGTCGATGGGGGCAGATGGCACAAGCAAAGCTGGGAAGGGGGAGAGAAGAAGATAAAAAGGACTGAGGAGTTCCCTGCGGTGGGGAATTTGTCCCACCCCTATTTTAGCAATCCTTTCCAAAGCCTAACCCTTAGGTCTCTCAATCCCCACCTTTTCCAGTCCTCACTTCCCACCAAAGAATCCTAGATACTCCTGATTCCTTAATAACAAAAGTTTGTTGAGCCAGAAACCCTTAGGTTCGATCCAATCTTTGCCCTCACCGTCCATCCCGTAGCATCAGAGCCTCATCCTCCGGGATGTAACTGGCCAGCAGGTCCCCAACCCTTCGTTTCTGCAGGGGACAGAAGAAGTTTGGAAAGGATCAGCGGAATAGGAGGGATGGGTGGAAGGTAAATAATAGGGATGAGGAGCCTAGTGGAATAAGGGTCGTGGGGAGAACAGCGATCATAAGAGCTCCTGGGAGCCTGGCTCCGCACCAGGCAGCTCACACTCTCAACTTTGACTCCACATTAGGTTCTGATCCCTCCATAAGAAGAAGGATCACTCTCATTTCTTCTCCTCTGGATCGCTCCACGGTACCAACGCAGCTGTTGCCAGGGCAACATAACAGAACTCCTTCACAGCCTTCAGAAGGCAGCTGAAGATGCTCCAGACCCTCTACTAGCACTTACTTTGAGAACATTGAGCTGACTCCAATCATCGCCTTCCCTCTTGAAAGACATCACGAACGTGAGCCCTAGAAATGATAAATTCTCTTGGGCCGGCTTCGCCACTCCTTCAGGCTACCGTAGGAAGAATGGAACACCTCCGTCCCTTCTTCCGGGTTGGTCTTCGTCAATTTCCGGAGGTGCGCTTCCACGAATGCACCGCGCGATCCCGAAAGCCCGCCTCCCCCGTTCTGAGAGGACTGCATTTCCTATGGTGCGCTGCGACCCCTCCGACGCGGAGCCTTTTGGGAAATGAAGTCTTTTTTTCAAAGAGCTTGCCGCTCAGCTGGGTCGAGGCCCTAGCATCTTGACGGATTCCAGGCGTCGGGAGGGACCAGAACCTAAAGTGGAGCCCAAGTTTGAGGGTGTGACCTGCCTGGTGCGGAGCCAGGCTCCCAGGAGCTCAGTGGAATGTGCCCTACAAACTCTCGCAGTCTTCGAGCGTCTCGTCAGGGGCCACAGCCGACCTAGGGTGGGCCCGAGGTGCTCCTGACCACAGCCGATGAAACTCAGGACGGCGCCGAGCCGGAACGTGGGGGCCCGGGGAGGCCTGGCCGCCGTACTGGGAGACACCCTGAGGAACGCGGGTTGAGGAGGGGGCTAGAGTTCAAAGGTCAGAGGTCACCGCAGCGAGAGGTGCGGCGAGGGGATGAAAGTCCGAGGGTGTTGAGACTCCAGGACTGAATGCTCGGGACAGATCGGTGGGTGGGCGAGTTGCAGAGAGGAAAAGCGGAGCGGAGCGGGGGCGCGGAGGGAGGCTTAGGAACGAAGGAGAAGGAATTCCCTGGATAGTCACTCCCTGGGTTGGAGCGACACTGCCTGTCACTTAACCGGGCGACCTCTTTTGCGACCCCAGCTGTCCGGGTGAGGAGATGGCTTCTCCCTCTAGACAGCCCCCCTTGGGAGGCTCTGGGCTGCTGCAGGGCAGCCGGGCTCGTTCTTACGGAAGCCTGGTGCAGTCCGCCTGCTCCCCGGTGAGAGAGCGGCGCCTGGAGCACCGGCTGGAACCCGGAGACACCCTGGCCGGGCTGGCCCTGCGATACGGAGTGACGGTGAGTCTCCCGGAGCACCGTGTGCGCCACCACCCGGAGAGGCCCGCGCCCGGCGCAGACGGCCCCTTCTCCCTGGCGCGCCCTGCGTGCGCGGTGGCCTCTCCTGTGGGGTTCCACTCGGCGTTGCGCTGCCTGGTGGGGACGGAGCCTGTCCCACGGTGCCGATGCAGAGAAGTAGTTCCAATGGTTCTGCCAGACACCGTGCCAGGCGTCCTGTGCTGGAGCCGGGTTCAGCCTCGCATCCCTCCCAGTACACACCTATTGTGTGTGTGTTTTTTTTTTTTTGCGTCAGAGAAACTTGAGACAGCTTGGCTAACCAGTTTGATCAAGGTCAAATAACTGAACATCAGAGTTGGAATTCAAACAAGTCTGTCTGACTCTGACGACTATATTATTAACCACATAGAAAATTTTTAATTGAGAGATTAAACATTTACAGCAAATAATGAAGAGATGGTTTTTAGCTCTCAGTGTCTAAAGTGTTTATCTCTTTTCATTCTTGTTTCCTCCTCAGGGCTCTGCTTTCTTTCCAGGTGCAGAACAGGTACTCTGTACATCAAGTATTTCAGGTCATGATTATGGGAAATTTGATATATGTTAAAATATATTGCATTAAGATGGGCGTGGTGGTGTGTGTCTATAATCCCAGTGACTACTCCAGAGGCTGAGGCAAGAGGATCACAAGTTCAAGGCCAACCTCAGCAATTTAGTGAGACCCTGTCTCAAAATAAAAAAACAAAAATGACTGGGGATGTAGATCAGTTGTAGAGTACCCCTGGGTTCACTCCCAAGTATATATATATATATATATATATATATATATATAAACTTATAACATTAAAGTTGGTGAGATTCCACCCCCCATGTCCTATTCCATCTCATACAAACAATGTTGAATTTAGACAACATTTTTATACTTTGTGTATTTATTTATTTTTCTTGTTGGTACTGGGGATTTAACCCCAGGGCATTTTATCACTGAATCACTTTTTATTTTTTATTTTGAGACAGGGTATCACTAAGTTGCTGAAGGCCACACCAAGTAGAATTATTATAGGTGTGTATCACCACACTCAGCTTGCTTTGTACATTTAAAGCACTGTGATAACCCTTTTTGGAGACAGAAACATAAATATATGGTTGCTGTGCTCATGTAATTTACAGTCTAATGAGAATGGACAGAGATACAAATAATGATTATAGGTGAAAGAATGTGGTGAGTTTGTAGTGGTAATTACAAGTAGTGGGAAAACAAAAAAGATTAACTTTTACTTGGAAACAGGCAGGGATAGCCATCAGTGCAGGTTTTAAGGGTGCCATCACATTGAGCTTTGAAAGACTTCCTCTGTAGTTCCTTCCAACAAACCTATTTAATATAGTTATTTATATCTTTGTCTTTCCAATAGCCTATATCCTATAGAGTAGGAACTTTTTCTTTTCAACTTTGTATGTCTAAAGTCTGTCATTGTCTCAGATACATAGAAGCTTAAAAGATTTTTTTTTTTTTGAATGAAGGAATGAAATTGAGGCTATGTATCTACAGGTGGAGGGGCTGGGGATGTGGCTCAAGCAGTAGCGCCCTCGCCTGGCATGCGCAGGGCACTGAGTTGGATCCTCAACACCACATAAAAATAAAAGATGTTGTGTCCACCAAAAATTTAAAAATTCTCTCTCTCTCTCTTTCTTTAAAAAAAAAAAAAATCTACAGGTGGAGATTGGGAGTGTAAGAAAGGGAACATTTCAAGTAGAGAGAGTGACCTAATAAGCAAAGGAAGTGAATATGAAATTATAGGGCATTGTGTGCATATACAAATATGTAACAAAAAATTTTATCAGTATGTACAACTATAATGCATCAATCAAAAAAAAGTGGAGGAAAAAAGAAAGTATATAGGACAGCCTCTTGGTCTCAGCAAAGGCTTGCAGGTATGTCAAGGAAATTGGGGGACCATGGGATATAGCTCTCTGGTAGAGCATCTGCATATGCAAGGCTCCAGGTTCAATCTTTAGCACCAAAAAACAAAAACAAAACTCAGTAGATAATAAGTGATTTCCTGGGTAGTCCAGTTTCCCTCCCCTTCTTTTTTAGTGCTAAGGATCAACCCAGGTCCTTGCATGTAGATAAACATTCTACCACTGAGCTACCCCCCAGCCTGATATGCCTTCTTTTTTTTTGTTTGTTTTGGTACTAAGGATTGAATCCAGGAGCACTTAACCACTGAGTCTCATCCTCAACGCCCCGCTCCCTTTTCTTTTTTGAGTTAGGGTCTCAGTAAATTTTCTGAGGCTGGCCTCAAATTTGCTATCCTCAAAAAAAAGAAAAAAATTGCAATCCTCCTGCCTAGGCCTCTGGAGTAGCTGGGATTACAGGCATGCACCACTACCACCACTACCACCACCACCACCCTCATCCTGAGGGTTTCTTATATCCCTGAAAAAAGATCTGTAGTCCGGCTGGGGATGTGGCTCAAGCGGTAGCGCGCGCTTGCCTGGCATGCGTGCGGCCCGGGTTCGATCCTCAGCACCACATACCAACAAAGATGTTGTGTCCGCCGAGAACTAAAAAAATAAATATCAAAAATTCTCTCTCTCTCTCTCCTCTCTCACTCTCTCTTTAAAAAAAAAAAAAAGATCTGTAGTCTAATGAAGAATTTTAGGTTCTGGTTCTATTCTGCTTAGTAGCTGTGTCTCTTCTCATTTGGAGCCTCAATTTTCCCACTATTTGTAAAATGAAGAAAGTGTATTAAATAATGATATTTACTTAACTTATTACCTACCTATTAATTAAGGAACACTTAGCATGTGCCAGACTCCATACATATATTATCTGATATTATCTTCATAACACTATGAAATAGTTATAACCATTCTTACTTATTTATTTAGTGTGGTGCTAGAGATCATACCCAGGGCCTCAAGCATGATAGGTAATCACTCTACCACTGAGCTACCTCCCTAGTCCTTATTCTCATTTAAAGATGAGGAGTCAGGGGGCTGGGGATGTGGCTCAAGCCGTAGTGCATTTGCCTGGCATGCATGCAGCTCGGGTTCAATCCTTAGCACCACATACAAATAAAGATGTTGTATCTATCGAAAACTAAAAAATAAATATTAAAATTCTCTCTCTCTCTCTTTAAAAAAGAAAAAAAAATCGATGAGGAGCCAGTATGGTGGCATACACCTATAATCCTAGCTACTCTTGAAATTGAGGCAGGAGGATTGAAAGTTTGAGGCCAGCCTGGGCAAAATAATGCTACCATGTGTCAAAATTTAAAAGGCTGGAGGTATAGTTCAGTGCCTTCCTAGTATGCATGAGGCCCAGGATTCAATCCTCTGTACCACAGAATAGATAAAAACATATCATAAATAAATCGAAAGTAAGACTTAGGAAGGCTACACAGACAGTATAATTGGTATAATTAGGATTCACACCAGGTCATCTCATATTAAAATCCTCACTTTTAAGCCAGTTGGTGTTAGTGCCTGCCTGTAATCCCAGCAAGTTGGGAGGCTGAGGCAGGATGATGACAAGTTCAAAGCTAGCCTCAGCAATTTATTGAGACCCTGTCTCAAAATAAAAAATAAAAATGGCTGAGGCTGGGTGTGGTGATATTCTCTTGTAATCCCGGTGGTTTGGGAGGCTGAGGTAGGAGGATCATGAGTTCAAAACCAACCTCAACAATTTAGTAAGTCCCTAAGCAACTCAGTGAGACCTGTCTCTAAATAAAATATAAAACGGGCTGGGGATGTGGCTCAGTGGGTAAGCATCCCTGGGTTCAATCCCTGGTACCAAAATAAATAAATAAAAATACAATTCTTACTTTTGCCAGGTATGATTCATACCTATAATCTCTGCTTCTTGGGAGGCTAAGGTAGGAGGATCACAAATTCAAGGCCAATTTATCAAGATTAAGGATGAGGATGTAGCTCAGTGGTAAAGGATTCAGTTTTATATATATATATATATATATATTCATATATTATCTGATATTATCTTTATATATATATTTTTTCCACAACTTAGACCTTGTCTTAAAATAAAAAATAAAAAGGACTGGGGATGTAGCTCAATGTAAATCACTTCTGGATTTGATCCCCAGGTCCAAAAAAAAAAGTGATTTTCCAAACTGGTGCCAATATAAAATGAAATTATAGTAAAATTGACACTCTGCCTTCTGATAATACTAACATACTCTATCTTTAGTTATTATACTTTATTATCTAGTTTATTCATAATGAATAAGTAAACCCCTGCTAGGTGCCAAGCTCTGTGAGATGCTAAGGTACACCTTGGGAATACAGAGACATCAAGTCACCATCCCTGCCCTTAAGATTCACAGGAGGGCTGGAGATTTGGCTCAATGAGAGTACTTGCCTAGCATGCACAAGGCCCTGGAGTTCAATCCCCAGCACTGCATTAAAAAAAATAATCATAAAGGGGCTGGAAGTATAGCTCAGTGGTAGAATGCTTGCCTCGCATGCATGAGGCCCTGGGTTTGATCCTCAGCACAACATAAAAATAAATAAATAAAAATGAAAATATTGTGTTCATCTACAACTAAAAACTATTTTTAAAAATAGTAATCATAAATAAAGACACAGGGTTTGAATAGGTGCTGGGGATATAGCTCCGTTAGTAGAGTGCTTGCCTCACATGCACAAGGCCCTTAGTTCGATAACACCATCAAAAAAAAAAATGCTACAAAGATACAGGGTTTGAGTAAAACATTCATAGAAGTAAATAACAATATGGTAAGGCAATGTGTTTTGTGTTTTTTTTTTCTTTTATATTTTTTCATTACTGGTGATTGAATTCAGGGTCTCTCATATGATAGGCAAGCACTCTACCATTGAACTATTCCCCAGCCATTTATTTATTTATTTACTTACTTATTTGGTACTGAGAATTGAGCCAGGAAGCTTTACTACTAATCTTTACCCAACCCCCTCCTTTTTTAAAAACTTGAGACAGGGTACCCTTAAGTTGTCCAGGCTGGCCTTGAATTTTTGATTTTCCTGCCTCACCTTCCTTAGTTGCGTGTTTACAGGGATGCACCACCACATCCAGCTTGTTTTTGTTTTTGGTGTAGTTCCATGGATCAAATTCAGAGGCTTGCACATGACAGGCAAGTCCTCTGTTATTGAGCTATCCCCTCACCTCATAGGACCAGTATTATTACAGCTGTGAAGAAGGTAACACAAAAGGAGTGTTGATGAGTAAAAATTCTCCAAGCAGAGAAGGGGAGAGTGGGGAGGCATTTCAGGCAGAAAGAGCAGCTTGAATAAGAGAAAGTATGAAAGATCATGGAATCTTCAAAGAAAAATGAAAAGTTCAGGATAGCAAAGTTTGTATAGATGGCAGAAGAGAGACAAGGCTAGACATTTCTGGTCTGAGAAAACTAGACTGAGAAAACCCTGAAAGGTAAATTTATTTTTCATTTTTGGTGGTGCTGGGAGTGAACCCAGGGCCTTGTGCATGCAAGGTAAGCACTCTTCCAACTGAGCTATATCCCCTGATTTTTACCTTTTAGCCAGTGAGGATCCATAGGAGTTTATAAGCAGGCTAGTGGGTTAATCAGATTATTTTTCTATTTGCGAAGAGGAAGATGAGTAGAAGTGAAAGAGGAAGAGCAACTACACTGTTAGGATAACTCAGATGAGAAATATTAAGGGTTTATTCTAGGGCAATGGCATTAGACATGAAGATAAGATCAGATGAGGCATGTCTATCTGTCTGTCTCTCTCTTTCTCTCACTTTCTCTCTCTTTTTTCATCACTGAGTATTGAACCCAGGTCTTTGCACATGCTAGGCAAGCACTCTACCAAGAAGGTACATCCCCAGCCCTGCCAGCCCAGATTTTTAAAGCACTTTTGTTGTCCAGTTTGGTGTGGATGATAAAAGTACATGATAAGGGGCTGGGGATGTGGCTCAAGTGGCAGCAGGCTGGCCTGGCATGCGCAAGGCACTGGGTTTGATTTCCCTAGCACCACATAAAAATAAATATATTGTGTCCATCTAAAACAAAACAAAACAAAACAAAAACATGATAAGGATGACATTGAACTGGGTATTGTGGCATTTGCCTGTAAATCCCTGCTACGCTGGAGGTTGAGACAGAAGGATTGCAGATTCAAGGCCAGCCTGGGCCACTTAGTGAGAGACTCTATTTCAAAAAATAACTTTGGGGGCTCGGGATGTGACTCAAGTGGTAGCATGCTTGCCTGGCATGCATGAGGCACTGGGTTTGATCCTCAGCACCACATAAAGATAAAATAAAGATATTTAAAAAATGAATAAATGTAAATAATAATAATGATAATAATAATAATAATTTTTTAAGGTGTAGCTTAATAGTGGAGCACTTGCCTAGCATGTGCGAGGCCCTGGGCTCAATACCATCAAAAAAAAAAAAAATCAAAATCAAGCCAGGCGGGCTGGGGGTGTGGCTCAAGCGGTAGCACGCTCGTTTGGCATGCGTGTGGCCGGGGTTCGATCCTCAGCACCACATACAAACAAAGATGTTGTGTCCGCCGATGACTGAAAAATAAATGTTGAAATTCTCTCTCACTCTCTCTAAAAAAAAAAAATCAAGCCAGGCATGGTCACTCATGCCTGTGATCCCAGTGGCTTGGGAGGCTGAGGCAGGAGGATTGTGAGTTCAAAGCCAGCCTCAGCAGCTTAGTGAGGCCCTAAGCAAGAGACCTTGTCTCTAAATATATTTTAAAAGAGAAGGGGATGTGACTCGATGGTTAAGCACTCCTGGGTTTAATTCCTGGTTAAAAAAAAATTTTTTAATTAAAAAATAGGGATATATAGCTCAGTGGTAGAGTACCCCTGGGTTCAATTTCCAGTACTGGGGGAAAAAGAAAAAAAAAAAAAGATGTATTTCCAAGCAGGAAATACCACTGAGCTGCATCCTCAGCCTGACATTGCAAGACCAAGTAAATAGATGGTGATGGCAGTCACTGTATTCAGTGATGAATAAATATTTGATGAAAGAAATTATTATAGTGTGAAAAGCATTCCCAGGAGGAGTAAAAGGCCAAGGATTCTATTTCTACCCTGGTAAGCTATGACCCCCGCCCTTTTCATTTTATTTTGAATCTCACTAAGCTGCCCAAGCTGGCCTCAAACGTGATTCTCCTACTCAACCTCAAGAGTAGCTGGTACTGCAGGCATGCACCACCATGCCTGGTTTATAAAAGCTTTTTGCCTCAATAATTTTTAAAAATGTAAAGGAGCCTTAAGACTAAAGAGTATGAAAATGGCTTACATATAAATTGGAATAATATCAACCCTATGTATTTTAGATTGCTGTTATGATAAGACAAGATTGATCATTGTAACTGTTATTAATCTTGATGACTTTTTTTAAAAGATGGAACAGATCAAGCGTGCAAACCGCCTTTATACTAATGACTCCATCTTCCTGAAGAAAACTCTCTACATCCCCATCCTGAGAGAGCCCAGAGACCTGTTCAATGGTTTGGATTCAGAGGAAGAGAAAGATGGAGAGGAAGAGGTAGACCCACGTAAGGATGAAGTTCAGCTACACTCAGCTGAGAGGAAGAAACAAGAGACAGGTTCAGGCCGTGCCAGTGGTGAAGCTCTCCCTAAAGCTGGCCAGGAACCCCCTGCTCCCCTCCATGACCTCTCTGCCTCTGATTTCCTTAAGAAGCTTGATTCACAGATCAGCCTGTCAAAGAAGGCTGCTGCCCAAAAGCTGAGAACAGGGGAAAGCAGGTGGGTCTTGAGTAGTTCCTTGTAAGTCCCTGCATAGGTTCCTCCATCTTACCTAACCATAAACACAAGTGCCAGCAGAAATGAGGTGATACCTTTTCCTTGGTGACCCCAAGACAGTGAGCAGAGCCAATGGCTGCTGGATGGGTTGAGGTGGTGGGAAATTGGGTTCCATGTTATCAGTGGAATTAAACAGTTGACTGTTCTTCCTGCTCTGATAATCCATGCAGGAGCATTAGTATTGAGAAATACATCTTAGAACAGCTAGTTCGGGAATCAAGAGAGGAAGAGAGTTTCCCCTCTTCACTTGGCCTATTCTCAGGTTCTTCCCTTCATCTATCACTCTTTCCCTGCTTTTCTCACCTGCAGGATACTTGGGGAAGATGCAGGTCTCCATCAGAGCTCCCCTCGGATGCAGCAACGAGCAGTCCTAGGTCCTGTGCCACTGACCCGGACCTCTCGGACCCAGACACTGCGGGACCAGGAGGATGAAATCTTCAAACTCTGATGTTCCCAGAACTGAGAGAAGCAGTATGTTGACGAAGCAATGTGAGGGGGAGAGTAGCCTGAGGTGAGGCTCAAGGACATGGCTTCCCAGCCTGACTCCCTCGACTCCTGCTGTCTTCTCCAGCCTCCCCGTAGACCAAGAATTCCTTGGCCTGGGCATTTTTCTGGCAGGAGTTCGAGATGGGGCCTAGACCCCTCCCTAGTTCTTGGGCTGAATCTAGAGTTTTCCTTTAGATTCAAAAGGTTCTTTTTATACCCCTGCTACCTTTCCTATCCCTTTCACCCTTCTCTAGCCTTAGAGCAGAGAAGCAAAGACTCCCTTTCAACTTCTTCCCTATCTCCACCTGTGTTACCTAATTTATTTGGTGCTATATTGAAGTAATATTTATTTGCTGTATCTAACTCTTTCCCACTGTTAGCTGAAAATGTGATTTCTAGAGCCCTGGGATGAGGGGAACCCAGACACAATTAAGTGGTCCGTCAGCTTCCCCGCTGCTTGCCCACGCATGTTATCAAGGACAGGGGAATCGTGGTCTAGCGCTGTCATGGAGAACAGTGGGCTGTTCCAAGTCTTTTCCCCAGTCTCAAGGTGAAGGATTTGGGTTCAGTCTGACCAACTAGTTCCCTATACTTCTAAGAAAAAGCAGCAATGTAGAGACCTGAATTCTCCATTCTTCCAGTTCACCCTTCTGACCTCTCTCTGCTCAGCCTGCAGTGGAGCTAAGGGATAGAAGAAGCATTGCCTTGGGGTGTGAGAAGGACAGTTGTGGGAGTCTCTTTGTTACACCCCCTCCCCACTAAAGCCTGTCTGTGTACGCCTTGCCCCTTACTGCATATTTATTTGCAATTTGTAGCACTGGTTTGCGGTACAGTTTGTTTTTTTGTCTTAAACAGAAGAAGTAGACAAGGGAACCTCAATAATACTGGAAAATGGAAATATGCCTCAGTCTCATGTTTGGAAATAGTGAGAGGTGAGACAAGTTGTGTTTATATACCTCCTTTCCTCTGTGATGATCCTAAGGTATAAAAAACTGGAGAGATTAAACATTGAGCCCTATGCACATTTTAGTAGTTTTATTTCCCCTGTGAGACTCTCCCTTACCCTAGTTGCTTCTTCCTGCACGCTAAAACAGGCTCTGACATCTGGGCAAACTCCACCTAGAGCTGGGAGTCTAGAACATCTCTAAGGGCCACCTTACCCCCTCCTGTCTTTAGTGTCCCCAGAGGGGTTACATGGGCTGCACCCCCTTCCCTTGATTCATGGGAGAAGGGGCTTCCCTGTTTCAGAGTCCCTCATGGGAGAAAGAGAGATCCAAGTTTCACTTCGCCTTTTTCAGGCTGCTTTGTTTCCTGTGCTAGGGCTGGAGTAGGAAAGAGTCCTCACCCCTCAGCGTTGCTCCTTCTCCACCAGCAGTTTGGGGGCAGGGTGGTCTCAAAGTCTATAGCACTCTTGAGAACGAAGGCTGAGGATTGAAAAGCGTTAGTGCAGATGAGCAGGGTTAGAAAGCCTGTTATCTGTTTTCCAGCTGGCCACGGGAGGCGGTGCTGGGTTCAGAGTTTTCAGAGCTTCCCCTCATCCAGCAGCTTCCTGAGCCCATCGCAGATCTTGCCAAGGTGCTGAGTGAAGCCAGGCCCATAGAGGGCTGTGAGCAGCCCTGGGTCAGAGAAGTGATCAAACACGTGGCGAATGCGGCCCTGTGACTTGGGTGTGAGGTGGTGCTGCACCAGTTCCAGCAGCGTGTCTCGGCACTCATTGAGCAGGCTTGCTAACACGGCAGCCTCGAAAGTGAAGTCCACCTCTCCAAAGCTCAGTGCCGTCATGGCACCCTGCCGCAGCTTCTGGCGAAAGCGGGTAGCCAGGTCCAGCTCGCTGGGGCCAAAGCTGCCATTGCGGTGCAGCACAGCCACCTTGACAGCCACCTTGATCAGGTCCTTGATAACCCGCTGGGCCTGGGGCCGACTGTGCGTGTACTCTTTGGACACACGGTACAGCTCGTCTAGTACCTCGCTGCTTGTCTCATCAATGAAGAGGTGAACCACAGACCGACCTGCCATCTTACTTAGTAGTTTCTTCTCCGCTTGCAGTGCCAGACTCTTTGAGCTGAAGGACTCCATGGTGTCTGGGAATGGGTATGTGGACAGTCACTAGAAGAGAGGCCACAGGCTTCCTTAGAAAGAGAGAACCGGCTTTTCCCCTTTCTGTTGCTTCTGTGGTTCCTTTGTCCTCTTTCCCCTGGGCCCCTCCATCCTCTCTGCCTTGCTCTTGCTTTTTTCCTTTAGTGCTGTATGAAATCTTGATCTCCAAAACAGCCCTGAAGAGCCTGGGTTACCCAGGCTGGAGGACCCAGCACACAGAAGCTAGCCTCCCGGAGTTTCAAAGCCTCAGGGGAAGTAGTCTGTTGCTGCCACAGTGGAGAGAGCGGGGCTTACCTGGCAGTTAATTCTCACAGCTATCATTTTTGGATGCCAACTGTATACCTACAGCTGTAAGATATAGACATCACTCTTGATGTTTTACAACTGAGCAAACTCAGACTTGGGTTAAAGTATTTACCCAAGATCAGTCACAACTGGTTTTTAGTCTCCAAAAGTCCATATGTACTATATTGCATTTTTATCTTATTTGTTTTCAATACTTGGGATTGAATCCAGGTGTGCTCTACCACTAAACTACATCCCAGCCCTTTTTACTTTATTTATTTTGCAGTGCTGGGGATCAAACCCAGGGCCTTTGTTCATTCATTCTACCACTGAGTCTCATCTCCAGCCCCTCGACCCTTTTTATTTTTTATTTTGAGACAGGATCTTCCTAAGCATCTGAGACTGTCCTTGAGTTTGCGATCCTCCTGCCTTGGCCTCCCAAATCACTGGGGTTACAGGTGTGCACCACTATACCCAGTCACTGCTTTGCATTTGAAAAAGTGAGAAGCACAGGGACCCAAGGAGTACTAATACGAATACCTAACATTTACTCAAAACCTTCTGTGTGCCACATGCTTTATATGAATTACTTGTCTACCCAACTGTATAAGGTTGGTATCCCCATTTTGCAATGAGAAAAACTGAAGTTAAGAGAAATTAAGCAGTTTGGCTGAAATCACTAGTAAATGATAACAATGGATGTCAAACCAAATAATCCCAAAAGCCCTTCCCCAGAGCTGTCAACGAGGTTGAAGACGCTGAGCAAGTCTGAGAAACAAGCACCTCAAGAAGGGCAGGTAGTCCTAAAGCTCTGGTCTGCTGGGCTGAACTAGAGACCCTCCTAGTGACATATATGATGAATATGTCCAGGGTTCTCCCCCGTGATCCTCGCCTGTGGTTCTTCTGGTTGTTTTGCTTCTTACTTCCCCCTCCCCTGCTCTGCAGGATGTGGTGGCTGTGACCGCAGTGAGGAGCAGCCTGGTCCTCTCCCCTAAATGAAAATGGGAGTCTGAAGAGGCAGTGGAGGTGGGCACCTGAAGGGGTTTCTTCCCCAGCTGAATCATTCCAGTGGGAGCCTTCAACATTGATTTGCTTCTGGCTTGCCCTGGGGCTTTCTAGATGAGGCTCCACAGCCACCGGAAGAGACATTGCTCCATGTGAGCCTTCCTTCCTCCTTGGCCTTCCTGTTACCCAGCTCTGCGTTGCCCTTATAGCCATCTCACATTTGGTTCAGTCTTCTCACCCTCTCCTCCTTACGGTGTCCCCTTTTCTCCCCTCCGGGCTCTGCCTTTAATTCTGGCCATGGTCTCCCTCTGGTCCTGACCCATCTACCTCCATGTCTTTGACATTTCCTTGTATCTTCCAATCCTCGCCACACATCCATACCCACCCTCAGCCCTCAGCCCTCCCCGCCCACACCCCTCTCCCAAGCCAGGACTTTCTTTCCCAGGCGCCTTGCCCCAGGGAAAACTCAGCTTTACTGGGTTACAACCAAGAATTCTGCAAGTGTAAGCTTCACAATATAGAAAGCTAAGTCTGAAACAGCTAGATACCCTCTGCCCACCATCACCCTGAAGTCTACCTTCTGTCATTGTTGGTCCCTCACCTGTCACGCACTGGTGCCAGTCTTGCCTTGGATGTTCCGGGAGAGCTGACAGAATGGAGAAGCTCCTAAGTGAGAGGCCCTCTGGCCTGGCCCCACCCCTCAAGCCCCGCCTACCTACTCTGTGCTCTACCTCCGGTTCACCATCCCTGTCGCCAAGGGGGCCAGTGGCCAAGCAGTCACCTAGACATAAGAGGAAGGACAAAAGGAATAGAAGGTCTCTGATAAAACCGACTTGACTCTGAAGCAGGCAGAAGGGGATGCACATTCTCCACTCTCAAAATGTTTGTCGGCTTCTTTCCTTGCCGTCCAGATCCTTGAGATCCGATTATATTGCTGTGTTTCTAGAGAAGATGTAGAGTGTTGATTGCTGGGTGGGGGGAGTCAGTGGGAAAAGTTCTGAAGAGTGATACCGTGAGTCAACATTGTCACAAGCAACTTTCAGCTCCTGACAGGTAAGGTTGGCACAGGCCTTAGTACTGGAGGGAGGAAGATGCTGGGCTCAGGGCTGCTGGGCCATGTGTGACCAGCAGGTGACAGCACTGCACTGAACCACTCTAGAAATGAGGAACCCCCAAATGAGGGCAAGTTCTTGAATGAAGCAAAAGCATTTACCATAAAGAATCTTACCGCTGGGCGCCGTGGCGCACGCCTGTAATCTCAGCCCCATGCCTGTAATCCCAGCAGTTTGAGAGGCTGAGGCAGGAGGATCACAAGTTCAAAAGCCAGCCTCAGCAATTCAGTGAGACCCTGTCTCTAAATAAAATACAAAATAGAGCTGGGGATGTGGCTTAAAATAATCGTCATCATCATCATCATCTTACAACCTGTCCAGGGCCACAGATAGCTATAATACAAGTCAAAAGTCAAACAATGCTATTAACTTTGTTTACCATGGGTCTTGCTATGTCAACCAGGTTGGTCTCTGACTTATGGGCTTAAGATGATCCTCCCACCTCAGCCTCAGATTCTGAAGCAGCTGGGACTACAGTTGTGCTACACCCAGATCATTCATTTTTATATATTTATTTTGGTACTGGGGATTGAACCCAGGGGTGCTTAACCATGTAGCCACATCCCCAGTCCTTTTTAAAAAAATATTCTATTTAGAGCCAGGGTCTTTCTAAGCTGCTCAGGGCCTTGCTAAATTGCTGAGGCTGAGGCTGGCTTTGAATTTGCGTTCCTCATGCCTTACTCTCATCAGCTGCTGGGATTATAAACTCTGCCATTGTGTCGGGGTTTGTTTTGTTTTGTTTTGTTTTGTTTTATTGTTTTGTTTTTCATAGGGGATCAATCTCAGGTCCTTACACCTTACACTTGCTGGGTAAGCACTCTATCATTGAGCTATACCACCAGCCCTACCATTAGCTTTAATATAGGATTAGAGGTTTAAAGAATTAAAGAGGCTTAGATTAATTCTGATATGGCAGAAAAGTCTGACTTGCAAGGATAGATTAGACTATTTAGTAATCAGAGATGAGGAAGAAATACTTCCCAGATGGTGGAGCAACGTAAGCATGCACTGGGCATCCTCGGAAGTGGTGATCTATATGTTTGGAGCATAAGTTTTTTGTGTTTGTTTTTCTGGTACTAAGGATTGAACCTAGAGGTGCTCAAGTACGTAGCCACATCCCCAGCCCTCCCCCTTTTTAAAAATTTTGAGACAAGTACTCACTAAGTTTCTTAGGGCCTCACTAAGTTGCTGAGGCTGATCTTAAATTTGCAGTCCTGCCTTAGCTTCCCAAGTGGCTATAATTATGGGTGTGCACCACTTTGCCCCGAAGTTTTTTTGTTTTATGTATTAGAGTGTTGTAATTATATGTAGTATTTGGGTTCATTTTGGCAAAATTATGCATATAAGGAATTTGATTTTAATCTTCAATCTCCCTTCTTTAGTTCCCCTTCTCCCTCTCCTTTTCTCTCTCCTCTACTGATCTTCCTTTCACTTTTACTTATTTATTTATAGTTGTAGATGGACACAATACTTTTATTTTATTTATTTATTTTTATGCAGTGCTAACGATCGAACCCAGGCCTTCACATGCACTAGGCAAGTGCTCTATCACTGAACTACACCCCAGCCCCTCTTATTTTTTATTTTATTTTATTTTTTTAAAGAGAGAGAGAGAGAATTTTTTTTCAATGTTTATTTTTTTTTAGTTCTTGGTGGACACAACATCTTTGTTTGTATGTGGTGCTGAGGATCGAACCCAGGCCCCATGCATGCCAGGCGAGCGCACTACCGCTTGAGCCACATCCCCAGCCCCCCTCTTGTTTTTGATTTGTACTTTCTACATATGCATACAGGTGCAATTCCCTTTGGTACATTTCTATATGTATATAACATGATTATGTTAAATTTATTCCACATTTCTTTCCCTTCCTCCTCCCTCTCATTCTCCTACTCCACTGATCTTCCTCTATGACATCCCATCCCTTCCCCCACTGCTTTCTTTCCCTTATTCTGCTCTAGCTTCCATATATGAGAGAAATCATTTGACCCTTGATTTTCTGAGACTGGCTTATTTCACTTAGAATGATAGAATATAGGCTCTTTTTAAAAATATATTTTTAATTCTCAGTGAACCTTTATTTTATTATATGAGGTGCTGAGAATCAAACCCAGTGTCTCACACATACTAGGCAAGGACCCAATCACTGAGCAACAACCCCAGCCCATATGGTTCTTTGAGAGATAACTGAAGAAAGAAAATGTCCAGCTCATGGCAAACTTTTTAAAAGTTGCTCAAGAGTTCAGCAGGACAGCTGGGTGAGGTGGCACACACCTGTAATCCCAGCAGCTTGGGAGGATCCAGAGTTCAAAGCCGGCATCAGCAATGGTGAGATGCTAAGCAACTCAGTGAGACCCTGTCTCTAAATAAAATTCAAAATAGGGCAGGGTATGTGACTCAGTGGTTGAATGCCTCTGAGTTCAATCCCTGGTATCAAAAAAATAAAAAAAGTTCAATGGGGAAACAGTAAGTTTAATAAGGGGAGTAAAATAATGTGCTCAGTGGGGATGCGTTATATGCTTCAATAAATTTTCAGGTGAGGAAAAGGGCATATTTATAAAGTAATCAACCAGTGATATAACTTGCTTAAGTACAGGTGAGAACCCACGAGAAACCTTGGGATTTGGTGATTTTAATCTATTTATTTACCTAGATGCTAGAG